ACAAACTCACTTTCTGTGGCCTTGTCTTTTACCTGAAGTTTGCGGATGATGTCCATCGTGACAGGGTCTTCCTGATAGGCTCCCACCAATGATTGAGTTACTTCATTAGCTACGCCAAATTCAGAAACTAGCGCACCTAGGTAGTCTGCTCTACGGGATAGCGCGCCTGCAACCTTGTTGTACTCTCCCTTCAGGTACTCAAGCTTGAAGTCATATTGGTCTATGACCTCAATCCATCGCTTGAGTGCATCAAAAAGAGCCGGTTGAGTCTTGATCCATTTGAGGGTCTCATGATCAGTCCTCAGATAGAAGAACCTTCCTAGAAGGAAGTGTCTCCAATAAACAAGTGCCTTGTAGAGAACATAGAGTTCCCTTTCTTAGGTGGACTTAGCCAACTTCTTTTATGGCATCTTCTTACTCATGTACTCAATCGGTCTCAACTTTTTCCCATCCTGCTGAGCCAGCACTGTGCCAATGCCGTATTGGCTTGCGTCAGTGGTCACTATGAATGGCTTTTGCGGATCCCGAACCATGAGAACTTCATGATTCATGAGTGCATGCTTCAATCTCTTGAAAACACCCTCGCACTCATCACTCCAGTCCCACGGTGTGTCAAGTCGAGTTAGATCAGTCAAAGGAGAGGCGACTGTAGAATAGTTCTTAACGAAGTTCCTATAGTAGCCGCACATTCCTAAAAATGATCTGACCTCAGTGACTGTCTGAGGTCGTGGCCAGTCTCTAATACTAGCCACCTTCGCATCCTCCGGCCTAATTCCCTCCGCGGATACTTCGTGACCCAAGTATAGTATCTTAATGCGACAGAATTACACTTCTCTAAGTTGACCTTATACTTGTGTTGTCGTAGGAGTGAGAGAACTGTCTCAACATGCTTTGCGTGCTCCTCGGCAGACTTACTAAAGATCAGAATGTCGTCTAAGTAGACCACGACAAACTTATCTAAATGGTCATGGAAGATCCGATTCATAGCGTGCTGGAATGTACCCGGTGCATTACAAAGACCGAAAGGCATCACTACAAACTCATACAGACCATATCTAGTCTGAAAAGCTGTCTTGTGTTGGTCCTCAGGCCTTATTGCGATCTGGTGATATCCGGATTTCAAGTCTATCTTTGTATAGTACTTGCATCCCTGCACCCTATCCAATAGGTCGTCTATGCGAGGTAGAGGCTCCGTGTTCTTCACAATGATGGCATTGAGGCCCCTATGATCAATGCACATCCTCAAAGTACCCCCCTTCTTTGGTACGAATAGCACGGGTGATCCGTAAGGGGAAGTACTAATCCATCCCTTCTCCGTCAGCTCCTTGAGTTGCTTCCGAAGTTCATCTAACTCGGCAGGGGCCATCCTATAGATCCTTCCCTTTGGGGTCTTACTCCCTGGAATGATTTCTATAGCGTGGACGACTTCCCTATCAACAACTCCTGAGGGTTCCTCGAACAGATCAGGGAACTTAGCAACGACGTGTTCTATCTCTGGGGTGTTTTAACGGCCTCCCCCTTCTTAGAGACATAAACAAGGTACATACCCTCCTCTTGGTTTTGCTTGTAATAGTTATAGAATGCTGATGCGCACAAGCAGCCATAGGTATCTGCAATACTATTGGCCTTGAACTTAGTCAATCTGACAGTTCGGCCATCGGGCAACTTGTATTTGAGCACCTTCTTATCCCAGTCGAACTGGGGCTCGGCAACTTCGAGGTAGTACATGCCTAACAACATATCGAATGRYAAGTCGTYGCTAACCAAGAACGAGATCTTATGGTTAAGCTCACCTCCTCCATAGGAGAAGGTACAGACTACGTCCTTGATGTAGTCTGTTACAATCATGCGCTCCTTGTTGGCCAAAGTAGATGCTACGGGTCTACTAAGGTGCCGTACCCGGTCCTGTAGGTGCAGCCTTTCCAAACAGTCGCGACTTATGTAATTCCGCGTGGAGCCAATGTCTATGAAGGCACCACATTTGCGGCCTCCCACATCGACTTCCACCACGAAATGTTCCCCTCTAGGACCTTTCCTTAGTGCCACCCAGGACTCGCGAGGGTCCTTGTTTGACCACTCACTCTCCAAGTCCTCTAAGGCTTTAGACACATCTAACGTACAGAGCATAGTTTGGTCTAGTTGTGTCTGCGGGGTGACTAAGGGGTCATTAGCCTTGGTCTTGTCATGAAGTTGGGAGGGTATCATTCCTACTTCATCTTGAGTAGAAGCAGCTATTACTTCCACTGGCCTCACGTGTTTCCCGAGCTAGAAGCCTGGGAATAAGTTGCCCCAACTTTTGGCGCAACCTTTTGCGTAACCTTAGCGTTCTGACACTTCCACTGCGTGTGTCCGTATTCCCCGCAGTAGATGCAAGAGCCACGCGATCGGCGGTCACGCCACACGTCTTGATCAAGACCTGCCTTAGTCCACTCAGACTGTTTGGTCTGATTGGAGGCGGCCTTCCCTTGACCCCTAGGCTGGCCCTTCGCTCGGCCTGCCGCCTTAGTCTTAACTACCGCGGCGAGGGTGCTACCCTCAGCTACTTCCTCGCCGTCATACTCTGAGTAGTCCATCAGGTGAGAGAGCTCATCGATTTCATATTGAGTCCCATCAGACTCAACCATCATCAACTTCGCCCCCTTCTTCTTCCACTCCTGAGGACTCTTCTTCTTCTTTGAGTCATTCCGTGAGGTGGGTTGAGCATTGCCTAGTGTGGCCTCTAAGCCTAAGGCTTTCCTAGACAATGTCTCAAATGAGTGGTACTCAGTGCGTGCCTCACTGGCTAGTAAGTTCCTCATGTTCTCAGGTAGGCATCTAACAAACGTGGTTAAGAGGAACTGGTCACTGTAGTTGATGCCTGGGACATTTCACCCCACCCCTGCATGGTATGTATTTTTTAGAAGTACATCCATGACCCGATGTACCCAGACTCAACTCAACCCGTGCCTTTTGGCCACCTTTCAGACCTCAACCAAGCCACCGCACGGGCGTTTGACAGGCTCAGCGCGCTTCCAAATACACAAGAATCCCAAGATCAACCCACTAGGAATCAAACCTAAGACCTTTCACCACATAGGCGAAACACTTAACCAATTGGAAAAGTGGGCTGAAATGAAATTGAAGCCCCTTACAGGACATATCACCCCACCCCAGCATGGTATGTATTTTTTAAAAGTACATCCATAACCCGGTGTACCTAGACTCAACTCAACCCGTGCCTTTCGGCCAGCTGTCAGACCTCAACCAAGCCACCGCAAGGGCGTTTGAGAGGCTCAACGCGCTTGCAAATACACAAGAATCCCAAGATCAACCCACTAGGAATCGAACCTAAGACCTTCCACCAAAGAGGCGGAACACTTAACCAATTGGAA